TCCTTTTTGCTTGTTCATTTATATGTCTTTGGGAGTGTAAGGGAAGGCACAGAAATGGAGGGACAAAGCATAAACAAATGCAGCAGTGGTACTCACTGATACTATGTTGAAAATGAACTATTTAAAAAATGCTTGTTAATGCCAAGTGAGGTGGAGCAAACTGATAAACTCAGAATTGGGGAAACTGAGGCAACAAGGTCACAGTTTGAGGCCAACTCAGGCTATATAGTGAAACTCTGTTTCAAAAAATTTTGCTTGTTACATTTTTCAAGGTACGGTTAATAAAACTGCCTTATCTGTACAGAGCAGCAGGCAAAACGTAACTAATTCCATTTCCTTCAGGCATAGGCAAAATATCAGGCTTCTAATTAGAATCCACTTACATTTATTATAAACCCAGTCCTAACTCTGTGATTTTCCAGTACTGGTTAAAAAAAGGAAGAAGGCTTGTCTAGAAGGCAATGGCAGAAAAGTGGCTACTAAGAGCCAAAAGTGGCCCCTGACCCAGTGAATGGTGGCACCTTATTGAGGATGCAGTGTTTAACTGGCAAATACCTGTTTGTGAAGGAGCCTTCGCGGAGTGTTCCTCAAATTTGAGCAAGAGCCAGAATCACCCAAAGGCTTGTTAAATCAGATAACAACATTCCACTCCACCTTCCTGCAGTAGGTCTAGGGTGAGGACCAGTTTGCATTTCTGTAAAGTGCCCAGTGACATCAATGCTGCCAGTCTGCTCATGAGAATCATGAGAATCACTGGTCTAAACAGTGGGCCTTAAAGAAAACAACTGCAGAAAATCCCAGCCAAATTTCACTCTTGATCAGTCACTTCTTGCCTCATGTACTCAAGTGCCTGAAATTTTTTTTCAAAGATGACTTTATGACTTGATCATTTCCACTTGTGGAACCAGCTGAGCTGGATAGTTATTATCAGATAATAGAGTAAGTAAATATTGTTATAATAAGAGGAGATATGGGTATTCTGACTTCCTTGTGAGGGCTGTTCTCAAAACTTGCTCTATCATGGATCTGTATCAGTGATTAATATTTAGACCAAAGGCACCATAAGCAAATTCTATATTAGAATACATGTGGGCTTTGCTCCCTTGCCACGCCTCTACTCTCCCCACCCACAAGCTTTATGGAATAAGAAAGTTCCTAAGGCCTCCTGTGAATATAACATTAATATAAATCAATTTCAAAATCAATTTCTGAATGATAAGCTCTGATGTTAAATTATTAGTTACTGAAAGTATTAATACTAGAAAATTTTATCTGTCATAAGAAGCCCAACACTGCTGTCTTGGAGGAATCTTTCATCTTCTGCCACCTGCCCATAGCCTGATGGCTGGACATGATCTCTGTAGTAATGAGAAAGAAATTAAGCAGTAAAGGAGTTAAGGCAAGATATGTTGACTATTTTGAGCTGAAATAACTTCTGAAATGATCATTTGCCTGGTCTTTCCCTACATGCAGCAAACTAAAAATTCTTTTGGGGTGGCAGACCACTTGCATAACATACTCCATCCCCTGGATTTGCATCCCAGAACTGTCACAAAAAAAAAAAAAAATCAATAAGACTTTGGGGAGGGGAGTGTGTCTTTTCTATACCAGGGCTAGAAAATAGCTGTGATCATTAGAGACTCATAATTGGGCTTCAGTGAACTTGAACAAATACTTCAACTCTTATTTTCTACTGTCTTCTACATCCCTCTACATTGTATATTTCTTAGTAACATCCCTAGAACTTGCTACCTACTCCAGAGATACAGATGTCTTGTCATTCCCTCACAAAGTGATTTGTCTTAAATTATAAAAGCATCATGTTTTTAGCCATTGCTTTGGATTTCACGTTCTTATGATTCCCCATGCACATGTGAAATTAATACAACCTTTATGTCATTCCTTTGTTAATCAACTCATATTGGTTGGATTTCTAGTTCCATGAATATAAAGGGAGGAAGTTGGATAGGATCTCTCTCTTCCCAAGAGAGGAGGACTTGGATTTTGAACTGGAACTGTTATCAACAGTAAGTTCCTATGGTAGATGAAGAAAACCTATAGCTCCCTCAGTAAGACTGCGTGAGAGGACACATTACTTTTTGTGAAATTCACATGTCATTAGTGCTAAAAATGTTTCATGTCACATCTCTGCAATCCTGATGCATTTACACTGTGTGATGGTTTATGATCCCACCGGCCTTGGTGGTGTTGTGTCACAGTGTCATCTGCACAAACTCACTGATTCGTTATGAGATGGATCTGTTACTATAATCTCCATGGTCCTCTCAACAAATAATGTAAAAAAGGAAGCATGATGTTGCCTGAAAACCTTCCCTCAACAAGATCAAGAAAGTCCTAGCATCAAAACTTGTGTCAGTAGCTTGCAAGCAAGTAATACTGGAATATTTTTTTTTTTTTTTGGTCCGGTTGTGGGGCCTGAACTCTGGGCCTGGGCACTGTCCCTCAGCTCTTCAGCTCAAGGCTAGTGCTCTACCACTTGAGCCACAGCGCCACTTCTGGCTTTTTTTTTCTTTGCTTATGTGGTGCTGAGGAATCGAACCCAGGGCCTCATGCATGCAAGGCAAGCGCTCTACCACTGAGCCACCTTCCCAGCCCCACTGGAATATTTCTTGTTGTTATTATAAAGGTGCTATACAGAGGTGTACATAAGTCAGGTAAAGAGTACATGTATTTGTTGGAATTATTGAATATTCTTAATAGAAATATGAGCCAATTTTGAAACTTGACTTTTCAGCCGATAGTAACTAGGACATAGAAGATATATGTGTGGAACCTGGCTATCAACAGCCACAAGCTGGAAGTGTTTCTGAAGTACACAGAACCCAAATGTGAATGTGAAGAATTCATGGGAGGGCTGGAAATGTGGCTTAGCAGTAGAGTGCTTGCTTAGCATGCACAAAGTCCTGGGTTCGATTCCTCAAACCACATAAACAGAAAAAGCCAGAAGTGGTGTTGTGGCTCAAGGGTAGAGTGCTAGCTTTGAGTAAAAAGAAGCTCAGGGACAGTGGTCAGGCCCTGAGTTCAAGCTCCAGGATTGGCAAAAAAAAAAAAAGAAAAAAGAACAGGATTCATGGGAATTCGTTAATACATTTTTTGCTTATGTTTTTCTTTCTGTATATACACAAGAGTGATATAACAAGTATATGTTTAAATCTAAAATCAGTCAATATTTTAAAATTCTGCATGATGAAACATATTACAAAGAGTTGAATGAGGGATAGTTTTTGTTGTTGGTGGTGGTGGCAGTCATGGGGCTTGAATTCAGGGCCTGGGCACTGTCCCTGAGCTCTTTTTGCTCAAGGCTAGCGCTCTAACACTTTGAGCCACAGCTCCACTTCTGGTTTTGTGGTGGGTAATTGGAAATAAGAGTCTCAAGGCCATTCCTGCCAGGGATGGCTTTGAACCACAATCCCTAGATCTCAGCCCCCTGAGTAGCTAGTGATGAGATCCCCCAGCGTTGCACTTAGTTTTCTTTTTAACATTGGCTCCCAATCTGCTTGGACTGATGTCTCCCCTTACACTTAAAAAAAGATATTTTGTGACACAGTCTTGTTATTTAGCCTAGGCTAGCCCCAAACTCAAATCTTGCTAAGTCCCTCCTGCATGCTAGTATTGTCAGTATGTGTTACCACTCTTGGATTCTATTTTCTACTCTTTAATTTTACTGAGGACCCTAAATAACTTGTTTATCATACTAAATTTCTATCATACTAGATATTTAAGTTGCGACTTTTAACATCAAGAATCACAAACAGGGGCTGGGAAGGTGGCTCTGTGGTAGCGCGCTTGCCTTGCATGCATGAGGCCCTAGGTTTGATTCCTCAGCACCACATAAGCAGAAAAAAAAAGCCGGAAGTGGCGCTGTGGCTCAAGTGGTAGAGTGCTAGCCTTGAGCTGAAGAGCTGAGGGACAACCCAGGCACAGAGTTCAGGCCCCATGACCAGACCCCCCCCCCCAAAAAAAAAGAATCACATGATGGGTGTCATGTCACACATGATGCAGAAGCCTCCAGGGAAAGGAGTAAGTAAATAGTAAGTAGACAATGTTAACAGGAAAGGAGTTTTGACCTTATTCACTATTTGAAAGAGTGAATCATACTTTGAGAATCACTGGCACATAAAATGGTGTTTCCTGCCCTTAGAATTGGAGGGGAGGTGGTGTACTGCTGTAATCCCAGCACCTGGAAGGATCAAGGCTAGCTTGGGCTACATAGCAAAGCTGTTGGGAACAGAGTTTAGGTCATCCTGCCTGGATTTGTTTTCTAGCCCTGCTACTTTTCTTACTGGGGGGTGGGGGGGCGGTTCTCACAGAGTCCACCTCCAGATCGGGGCTGGGAACACTGACGCACTGATGTTCTTCCAGGGGAGCAGGCGCGTCCTGTTGCTTTTGTCATCGTCCATCTCTTGGGTGACCGAGGCGTGCCTACCACGCTCCCTCCTCCGGTGGCTGTATGGTTGAGGCCCTCAGCTCGGCACCAGGGCTTTACCCGGGAGGGAGTGGGTCGCCAGGCCTCGGCTCCGGCGAGATAGCGGGTCTTGGGAGCAGGCTCCCCCCGGCTGCGGGGGACCGAGGGCACTTCCCGCGTCATCAGTCATCCACAGCGGTGCGGATTCCCCCGGAGTCCAAAGGACCCGGTGGGTTTCTGTGAGGCTTCCAGGCAGGGCGCTGCAGCTCTTCACACAGCCCGGGGCTCCTGCGGGTCTGAGCGCGGACGCGCGCGGTGGGTTGGACGGGCCCAGGAGCCCCGCCCCCCTCCAGCAGACCCCCTCCACTCCCACACCCCTTCTCCCACGTGCGTCCCGCCCTCGTGGTAGGCGTGGCCGAAGCCGGCAGTGGGCGGGGCCTGGGGAGGGGTCTGCAAGCGGGTCACGTCCAGGGGGCGGAGCTGAGCGCGGGGCGGCCGGCGGCGGGGGAGGTGCCACATCCGGCGGCCGCCCCGAACTGCAATAAAGCCGAGGCCGCGGCAGTTTTGCCTCCGAGCAGCCACGCTGAGCTGTCCTCGGCGGCGGGGGCGGCGGCTCCAATGCCCCTGGGCGGCCATGGGCGCCCCGCACTGGTGGGACCAGCTGCGGGCTGGCAGCTCGGAAGTGGACTGGTGCGAGGACAACTACACCATCGTGCCGGCCATCGCCGAGTTCTACAACACGGTGCGGGGCGCGGGGGCCGCGGGAGCCTCGGGAGCCGGGCTGGCAGGCGGGCTGGCGGGGAGGGAGCCCTCGGCCCGCGCGCCCCGCGCGCCCCGCGCGCCCGGACGTGGGTCGCCGCGAGCGCTCTGGGGCAGCGGCGCTCCGCGATCGCAGCCCGGGCTCCACGCCCGCTCTGCTGCGCGCTCCGGCCAGTTCCCCGCCCGGGCTGTCCTCCCGCTCCCGGTGCCCCACGCTTGGGCTCCTCTTTCCCCGCTCCTTTCCTGCTGGTGGCTCCATTGTTTGCTGCGGGTTCCCACGGTCCCGGGGTAAGGGGTTCACGGCAGTCCCTTCTTCCAGTTTGGGGGTCAGGTGGAATGGTGAACCGGTCCCCGACAGCTCGCGTCCCCCCCCCCCCCCCCCGCCATCCCCGGGGCGTGACGCACTTGGGTCGCATTGTGCGTTGGTGCCCTGAATCCCTGCTTGGGAGCTCGGGCGAAGGGGAAGTCGCGGCTGGACCCGCGCCCAGCCCGCTGGCTCGCCCGCCCCCAGACCTGGCCACCGTGGTCCGGAATCAGGTTAATTGCTGTCAGTCAGTCAGTCAGTCAGTCAGTCTGTCTGTCTCTGTCTCTCTGTCTCTGTATCTCTCTCGCTTTCTTTTATTTTTCGAATTCTTCCCTTCCCTCTTCTCTGTCTCTCTCCCCCACCCTCTCTCTTTCTGTCTCTGTCATGCTTTGTATCCACTGGGTCAATCCCCAAATTCAAGTCACTCAGGCCTGGTCTTGCTGGTTCTGAAAATCTGGGGATAAAAGGAGTGTGTGAGACTGATAATGTGTGTGTGTAAAGTCCCTAGATAAGGGCAAGCCGAAACTTCTCCCTGCAGAATCCGGACACTTCAGGGTGGGAGGGAAAAGATGTCCCAAGGAGAGGAAATGCTTCCCTCACCAGGCGTGCTGCCCACGGGACTCTGGTACCTAATTGTAAAGAGTCATTTCTCTGGTTTATCTTTTCACTGCTCAGACACAAACAAACAGGAACTGGTGGGTTGAGTCATTGTGAATTTGAAGTTGTTGTTTAGGATTTTTTTCCCCTTTGGATTTGTTGGGGAAAATGCCTCTGGCAGGACTTAGGTGTCTGTTACCTCAAGAAATTGCTGGTCTTTGTATTCTTGTGAGAATTGGACTTTGAGGGGGAGAGCTATCATACTGCCCACATTCTGGTAGATTGGTGCCACAATCCAGAAATCTTCATTTCCCTTCTTCTCAGTGCTGAAATGCCCCCCTCCCTCCTTTTATGATCAGGTTTGTTGTCCAACACCAGGCCCTCTGAGATCCAGAAATACTGGGAAAGATTGAGGTAGCGGAAATGGCCACACATTCCCCATTACACAACCCGGTACAGTAGACAGGTGCCATCAGGATGGGCTAGAGCAGGCCTGGGCACTTCAAGGAAAGAGAGACAGCAGGGAAAATTGAATGTCTGTTTCTAAGTGGGGAGTAGCATGAATAATGCTAAGGGTTCCACCAGACTTATAGAAGAAACAAGTTTGTGAAAAGATCTTTTCCTTCCTTCCTTCCTTCCTTCCTTCCTTCCTTCCTTCCTTCCTTCCTTCCTTCCTTCCTTCCTTCCTTCCTTCCTTCCTTCCTTCCCTCCCTCCTTCTTTCCTTCCCTCCTTCTTTCCTTCCCTCCTTCTTTCCTTCCTTTCTGTCTCTCTTTCTTTCTGTCTCTTTTTCTCTCTGTCTCTTTTTCTGGGAGGGGGGGGGGTCCGGTCATGGGGCCTGAACTCTGGGCCTGGGTGCTGTCCCTCAGCTCTTCAGCTCAAGGCTAGCACTCTACCACTTAAGCCACAGCACCACTTCCAGCTTTTTTCTTTTTTTGCTTATGTGGTGCTGAGGAATCGAACCCAGGGCCTCATGCATGCAAGGCAAGCACTCTACCACTGAGCCACCTTCCCAGCCCTCTTCCTCCCTCCCTCCCTCCCTCCCTCCCCCCCCCCTCTCTCTCTTTCTTTCTTGTGTGGTGGTACTGGGGTTTGAACTCGAGGCCCTAATGCTTGCTAGGCAGGCACTCCCCTTGAGCCTTGAGCCATGCCCCCAGTCCTTACACCCAACATAATTATCTGTTAAGTCTGAGGCCTGTTATTTAGGGTCTGAAAAACTAATGGTTAGCTGTTGTGAGCCTGCCTGAATGTTGGCTTCATTTTTTGAGAGGAAGGTCTTGCATTATTGCCTAGACTGGCCTCAAACTCAGGATCCACCTGACTCAGCTTATTGAGTAGTTGGGATTATGGATGTGTGTCTGGATGCTTGTCTATATTTTTAATCTAGTCCCATTGGAGCTATTATGTATCAAGTGCAAAAGTCTTTTTTTTTTTTTTTAATGAACTGTTGATCTTCAGTTACAAATTGCAGTGTCTGGCTGATTAGTCCAGTTAGTCCACCAGGCAAGTCTTTGGAATACTTGTAAACCACAACATTTCCTCTGGCAATTTGGAGGGCTTAAGATCTCAGAGTAGGTGATTGCCTAGCTGTTGTGTCTGGGTCCAAAGAATTTAGCCAAAACTTAATTCCTGTTTTCTGCTCCTATGTCTCTATTTCGGATGTTTATTGTAGGACAGAACTGACCTATCTCATATTGGGGAAACCAGCAAACTATTACTTGGTCATAATTATAGCCCCAAATTAAGTCTTTATAATAATAAGGTAGTAGGTTTAATAATGTATATTATAATTATAACAGTCAGTCCAATTCTAAGGAAAAAAAGTTAAAAGAATTGATGATGTTAAATCAGAAGACTAGGGCATATCACTGGGACAACTTTATTCACTAAAGCTACCATTTATTGTGTGCTGTGTGGTGAGACTCAGCTAGATACTTTATTCCCATCCTGGGCAATAGGTGATATTTATTATATTAATTTGATAGAGGAGAAAACTGAGGTCTGTTTCGTTTAATTTGCTTAGGTCAAGAAAATGACACAGCTGGAGTTAGAACTTGGTACTTTGACTTTCCCAAGGTAGTTCTCTTGAAGATCTAGTGCCATTCTTAGTACCTTATACTTATTTATTTGGCATGGCATATGTACTTAATAACTATTCAGTTATTCCTTCACTTAAACTGCTATGTTGGGACCATTTTATCCACAGAATAAGACTAATGATAAGGAGAAAGTTTGTTTAGTTTGTTATTGTTTGATACAAAAGCAATACTATAATCATGGAACATGATTCTGAGTGTGGAAGTTACAAATTAATAGATACCTTCTCTTCTTTGTAGACATAGACATGGAAAAAGTACACATATTTATGTATACATGTAAAATAGGTACGCATATTGCATACACTTTTTTTTTAACTCAGTTGAGACTACATGACGATAATCATTCTGTAACTTGTTTTTTTCCCCCACTCAATCTGTATTGCATAGTTCCTTGTTAGCTTATGTAAAGTTGCCATTCCCTTTACAGTGTCTCTACTGTATTCATTTATAATTTAACAGTCAATTATTATTGGTGAACATTTAGGGTAACTTCTGTTTATCTTATTTATATCTTTTCTTTTTGTGCTGGTCCTAGTGCTTGAACTCAAGGCTTGGGCATTCTGCCACTTGAGCCATAGCTCCACTCCGGCTTTCTTTCTTTTTTTATTTATTTTTTATTTTTTTTGTCGGTTGTGGGGCTTGAACTCTGGGCCTGGGTGCTGTCCCATAGCTCTAAAGCTCAAGGCTAGCTAGTGCTCTACCACTTGGGCCACAGCACCACTGCCATCCACTCTGGCTTTCTTCATTCTTCCCTCCCCTCCCCTTTCCTCCCCTCCCCTCTCCTCCCCTTCCCTTCCCTTCCCCTCTTCTTCCCCTCCCGTTTCTTCCTTCCTTTTCTCTTTCTATCTTTCTTTCTTTCTTTCTTTCTTTCTTTCTTTCTTTCTTTCTTTCTTTCTTTCTTTCTTTCTTTCTTTCTTTCTTTCTTCCTCTCTCTCTCTCTCTCTCTCTCTCTCTCTCTCTCTCTCTCTCTCTCTCTGTGTCTCTCTCTATCTCTGTCTCTCTTTCTCTCTTTTTGGCTAGTTGGTGGTAAGTATCTCACAGACTTTCCTGCCCGGACTGGTTTTGGACCTCATTCCTCAAATCTCAACCTTCTGAGTTGGGAGTAGCTAGGCTTACAGGCCTGAGCCCCTGGCCCTCAGCCTTCTGTTTATTGTTTTCATTGTGGTTTATGGAAAAGTGATGCTTGAATATTCTCGAGCATGCATCGGGTATATTTTTACAAGTACTAATTCTGGGTGGGGAATTGGCTATGTTAAGGAGAACATTCCCTTTAAATGATGATAATTGTTGCTAAATGGCAACTGATTTCATTCCCACTGATAGTGTTCGGCTATCGTGTCCACTCTGTCATCATGTTTGCTTCAGGCCAAGTCCATCGTTCTCTTCCAAGAACCCATCCTTTCCCTCCGCTTGTGCACATTCTGTACTGTTTTGTTGACATAGAGGTATGTTTGGACTGAATTCCTTGTTAGTGTTTGAAGCTTTAAGGTCCCAATGACATAGACCAAGACAATTTTGGAGAAAAGTACAATTTCCCTTCAGCTACTGGACTTACGTTTGGGGGAGAGAGACTCTAGTTCTTTATAGTGACTCAGGAGGAAATGATCTGGTGTTAAAGAGATTGTGAAGGAAAATACCTAAAACCAAGCCATGATCTCTTACCTCCTACTCTGTACCTAACCAAGTAGAGCGCATATTGCCAAAGCATGTGTCCCATTATCTGCAGGGTAGAATCTATCTGTCTAAACATTTACTACTGTGTATCTGTCATAGAGATCTAGAAGTAGTCATGGGTAGTGACTGTGTGCAGGTGGTTAAGCATGGTGTTAGTACCTATATGGGGTAGGGTACTTGGGCCCTGGGGTGTGGAGTGGGGGTTGTAAGAAGGGGCTTTGCTTAAGATTTTTACTGATTTTTTTTTTTTTCGTTAGGTCTCAGGGCTGAAACTCTGGGCTTGGGTGCTGTCCCTGTGCTCTTCAGCTCAA